AATGCAAAAGAAGATTTCAAGACGATAATAAACCAGTTTCTGTAACACCCTTAACCCGTATACTATAACTTAACGAGTTAAAGATGCCCCCATTGCTCCTCATTTCTTGCTTCAGCATTGATTCTAAGCACGAGCTTTGTGTCTGAGAGCCACATGTCATTTACCAAGATCCACTCTAGAGAGATTTTCTTGTTTGAAAAATGTTTTTCTTTCTCTTTTATTTTAAAAGTTCTAAAAATATCAATTAAAAGAGTTTCAAAAAATGTTTAATTAAAAGTTTTGAAAATATTGCCCCTTTCTCGATTTTACAATTGAGACGAATCATAAAACTAGAGTTCATTGGATATCAAAGAATTAATTATATTATTAATCCTTCAATAAATTATAGCTATTTGACAAGTGTCAAGATCAAAGCTATCTTTAGGAAATGGTTATGTAAGGAAAAAATCTCAGGTTATTGTGTTTGGTCAAAGGTTTAATATTCTTATTTCTTTGATGTTCACTGATCTGATGGGGTAACTTGTATGCTCCTCTACTGGAAGTGTTCTCTGACTCCCAGCTCTAATGGTCACACTCGGATTGTGCGATGCCTTATCAAGCAATTTGTACGGTCGCCTCAACTGCACAATTTTTATATTCGAGCCACCTTTTCAGGTTTTCAACTCGAATCTTCCTTTGGTTTCAAGATGTTATTCAGAATTTACGTCTTGAACCCCCCTTTGTTATTTTTCTCAATCATGCATTAAAGATTTTAGAAAATTGTTTGCAAACAAAGATTAATCCTGATGAGCGGGATGAAATTTAAAGATAATCTCTTCTGTTCAGAAATCCATGTATAATTATAAGGGACTTTTAAGGCACGTAATGTAGGTCATGGTTCATGGTTATGAAAGAAATGGATAAAAGGCTCAAACAAGTTTTTAAGGGTGATTGAACCAAGGATCAATTCATTATGATATCTTCAATCCTGTCTTGCTCAATTTGAATCTGCTTGTATGTGTCTCTCTTGATGCTCTATGATCTTCGAGTGAATTGATTCTGGAATAATTGTGCTTGATCAATCTCATAATTTGAATCTCGATGCGTCATTTGAATCGATGGAATCATTGCATATGCGTCTTGTCTTATTTTGTCTTCACTTTTTCCTTTGTTTTTGTTTCTCTCTTTTTTATTTTCTCTTTGTTTTTATCTTTTTTTCTTCTTTTTTCCTCTTTTTGTTCTAATTGGATCTTCGCACTTGGCATTTGGTTCACCTGGTTTCTCCTTTGGATTGATGTCTTCACTCATGTGAGCATATTTCTTCTACCTTACCCCCCCAGTGTGGTGAGTGATCCTTGGTTAGGGTTGAATCAGAAGAAAATATGATAGGCTCAAAAGGGGACAACAAGGGATATATATATATATATATATATATATATATATATACATATATGGATAAATGAAATAAAGTGGTTCATCATCTCATACACAAAAGTCCTCACATAAGAGGTATCCCCAGGGGGATAGTTTTTCTGGATTAATTTTATTCATATGAAAACAGTGTAATTAATGCATGATAGAATTATTTCGAATAAATTCTGCTTCTTGCTCCTAACATGTCTCAATGTTCAGGCTCCCTACAAGATACCCAAAGTTGTGTCTTAGAAGAATGTTCATATTCAAATGAACAACTCAATGCCTTAGGTTTTAATGGTATAAAAATGTTAATTTTGATTCTAAAAAGACAATGGTGTGATTTTATTGACTCAAAGAAAGGTATGGGTATGACTCTTTGTGTATTTAAAAGATAAAGGCAATGTTCAAAAGTTTCAAAGGGCGGTAATGTCAAAATTTGATCTTTTGGTAATGACCATGAGTTATTTTGGGTAAAGAATCAAGGTATTTTATTTGGGGTTTTAGACACGATAAGAAAGGTTTAATCTTGCCATATGTCAAAAATCTATAATTCTTGAAGATTTAAAACAATCCTTAATTCATTTAATATTCAAAAAACTAAAGATTAAAACTTGTTCAATTATTCCACCTTAAAAGGTAGCATAGTTTTAGTAGTTTAAAAGATTAAGCAAACATGAAAGATAAAAAATGTGTTCAAACAAAACAATACTCTCAATGCAAATGGTAGATGCAATGCCCCCTTCTTCGATTGTCTATGCCCCTGAATCCATCAGGTTTTGGATCCTGCGCTCCAATGCCTTACAGTTATCAGAGGAATGTCTGGAGCTTCCTATGTGGTAACTGCATACAACTTCAACATCGTAACCCTCAGGGAATAAGAACCCTTTTCTTAGATCATCCTAGAAGGCTCAATCCTACAACCTACTGAACAAACTTCCACCGTATTGATTTCAGTTTTTTCTTTAATTGTTCAAATCTTGCTTCTATGTGGTGTCACGTGATTAGGACCACTTCATTGAATCTTCCATGACTTAATTTCATGTTTATGAAAATGCTTAAAAATGAAATGTAGATGCAAAAAGCAAAAATGCATGAAATGTTCGAAGCATTGATCCGAAAACATGTTTGTTATTATAAATAATCTTTATTGGGACAAAAGTGTTATTTCTTAAGGGACAAAAATATCCTGATAGCTTCTGACAGGTTGACTAGTCCTATGCCTTCAGTTGACACCGGTTGAATACACTGCCAAACTGCTCCGACTTCTCTGGCTAAACCGTGCAAGTGACGAGCTGCTTTTTGTACTTGTTCCATGAAGTATCGAATGACTACATCTTTGGCTTTTATCCTTTGATGAGTATGTTCCCAATGAAAATGTCATTGGAGTCCTCCATCGATAAGAACTATGTGAAGTTCATTTGCTTGTTACTTGAACTCGTCAATAATAGCATCCAATTTCAGCTATCGTTTTACCCTCTTGTTCTTGTTGTCTTTGAGGGGACTCTCCAGGTTAGTAACCTTTTTCTCGTCTGCCCCTGCAACCTTTGCCAGCTCAAAAAGTTAACTTTTGGTGTGCTCGGTGTAAATCCCGGTCCATTCTTAGTCCTTTACAATGCAGCAGAATGGCATATTTTTTATTGCGGGTACCACGTCTTCTTGGTTGAATTGTCTTGCAGATTGTCTCCCTAACCATAGCCGGACCTCTATGTTTTTCACCTCTTGTATTACAACCCCTTTGTCCATTAATGCAAATTATTTAGGTTTAACGAACACATTTTAGTGGATCAACACCTCTTTTGAATGATGCAAATAATGAAAATAAAATGAAAGAGAACAAAAATAAAAATAGTTAGTGAGGTAAGGATAATAATCAAAACATTAATGAAAATAAAAGTCTTACCCCACATGCTTATTATTCCTACCCGGATCTGATCTCTATCCCACATGTTAATTTTGATCCAGTCATACCCGCATAAATTTCTAGTTCACATGCTTTGAACAGAAAATAAAGCAGGAAATCATCTCAATGTAGCCTAGGGTTTGAAATGGGGTTTTGGAGTAGGCTCTAATTCCCTGTAGTCTCACGGTTTAGGTTCTAAAAAAGGTACTCAAGTTCTCCTTACTGGTGCCCCCTTGGGCTTATCAGACCCTTAGTCCTACGCCCATTACAAGCTTATGTGGACTAAGTTAAACTCGAGAGGATACATTCCCTTATGCTTATACGGAGAATAAATTCACACGAAGACATAAGGTATATGAATCCCGAAGGTTACTTGCTAGGCCCATACGGAGAATAAATTCTCACGAAAGCGTCGCTTTCACCCCCACTTTAAAAACGGGTTTGGAGCTCGGGTATAGAGCCTTAGATGAAAACTTTTTCAAAAATCTGAAATCATTAAAAAAACGTTAGTACAACTATTTATTTGAAAAATAATCAAAGATAAATAATTAGAATTGAATAAATAAATTAAAATTTATTATTTTCGCTTAAAAAGACAACCGAAAATTAATTCTGGTCTGACTCATTTACCCGTCCCTAGCGGAGTCGCTAAGCTGTCGCGACCGTCTTTCGGTTGGGCCCGAAATTGGGCTTCGACTTAAAATCATTAGAGCCGCCACCGATCATTTTAAACACAAATTTTAGGTTGATCGGACACCATCTTACCTGATCTGCGTTTTACCAGAAATATGTCGGATTCGGGAGTCGGTTACAATCAATGAAGGATTAACACCCTTGAATTGCCCTTTCGGTACCATTTAATTTGTCGGTTGTCTTAATTGCGAACAATTGAAATTAAAATTAAAAAAAAAACTTTATTTGAATTACTTACCTTTGATTGGTTGAAATTCCTCTAAAAGGGTCATAAAATAAAATGTTAGATTGTAAAATAAAATAAATAAATGCTAAACAGAAAGAAAGAATTTTAAAAGGTTAAATTAAGAAATAAGGTTAAAAACAAAATTAAGATAAAAATAATAATAATAATAATAATAATAAGGTGAAATAATATTTTTTAAACCCAAGTCCTAATATCCGATCAAATTTGGCCACCAAAAACGTAAGACCTGGCTCCTTAGTAGCCTTAATAAATTCTTGATCTTTCACAACCAAATCTCCAACTTGAACATTGTTATAACTAAAGAAACCAGAAATAGCACCAGTGCCATAGTGAATAGCAGCAGATTTCCCATTCTTCTTATATGTTTTTGACTCACTTGCCTTGTACATGGTACTGAGCATCCATGTAGTTCAAGGCAACAATATCCACATCCTCCGAGTCTCCAAGATAGTTACGGAAGCGATGCTTTTTCATAGATGCTATGAGAGCCTCTCGATCCTTGGATTCAAGTCAGGAAGCAAGCCGATTGTTCGGATCGAATTTCAGCTTTTTCAGCCCGATTCTAACCAACCCGTCACTAGATGTCGTTATGACGGAAAATAAAATGGAGGAGATGAACAACGACAGCACAACCACAGCTTCAATCAGCTTGATTAATCAAGCCAAGAACTAAGTGCACCGCTAACGAGCCGAGTATAAAGTAAAAGAAGATTGATCAAAATGAAAAATAATTTTCAAGGAAAAAAATCATTATGTTTCACAACTTCATATCGCACTAAAATAATCCAATCCGACCAACAGAATATCAGCATCAAAACAGTAGCTATAAACAAAAATTTTAAAAAGTAAGAACAAGAAAATGGAGGAACAGATAGAACAATGCTCACCGCTTAGACGAAAGAAACCAAAGGGAAAGTTTATGAGCTTCCTACACTGCCTCCTCCTCCATCTACGATCGCTACGCTCATAAGCCGCTCTCCGACCATAACTTTGACCATCTTGTGCGGCACAACGACGTTCATCATGCTGAAAATAGGATCCCGAGCAGGGCAAGTCAGTTGGATCAGAAGAATGTTTAGTTCCTTCGTGGTGCCTATCGTTTTTCCGATCAGATTCCTCGCTCACAATTGCACTTCCAATCTTTGAAGAATCAGGAGCTGTCGACGCCGCTTCAAGGGGTACGTCATCTTGCAACCGACGGAGCTGTTTCTCATCACGATCGGGTTTGTCTCCGACATCAGTGTTGGACACAACTCTTTCGGTCTGAGGCTTCCCATCTCTCCTAGACCTCTTAGGACTGGGTTCATAGTCGAGCCTAGGATGGTGTCGTCTAGAGTCCGAATCTCGACCAGACATTGCACTGCTTTAAATATTTGGAAGAGAGAATTTTTTCTAGGGCTTGCTTGGCTTGGCCTCGAGTAGAAGAGGATGGATAGGGTTCTGTTCAGCTGCCACCCCCTCCAGTTTTTGCTTTTTTCCCCTTTAATTTCTGGTGGCCCCCTTAAAAAGCAGAAAGAAAATGAGATTTGTTTTTTAGTTAGGGGGGTGGCGGGCACGATGGAAGGGGAAAGCAATGGAGTGGGTAGTTTGTTCGTGAGAAAATGTCAACGGAAATGGTGGGCCCGAAAAATAATTATAATATATAAATTAATAAAAATAATAATAATAATAATAATATATTATAATATTTTTGTAGACTCGGATAAAAATAGGTGTATATAGAGAGCAATAGTCAATTTATTTAAAACACCGCTAACATCAAGTTGGGATCCTGTGTAGCCAAAGTAATTGGGAAGAATGAAGGTATTTACGGCGTAAGTGAGTTTGTTCAACAAAGTCCGAGCTGTTTTGCCTTCTCTAGGGAACATGAGGCCGACCAGGACACAGCAGAAAATAGCTGTGTAGCCAACCCCCTCGGTATACAGAGATAGACATGAAAGAAGGAACACAATAACAAAGACTTCTTTGTTGGAAACAAATCTATTTTTATGGTTCCTTTTGTTGAAAAAGTATGATAGATACTTGTTCACAAATATTACTACCACAGTAACAAGAGTTATAAGGATTGCTCCTCCAAATCTTTCAGAGGAGGTGAAAGCACCAAGTGTACTAACGATTATTACACAGGACATTTCATTAACCAAGGAAGAATAAATTGCCATTCTCCCTAAATCAGCGGGGTCAAACTTGGTATCAGCAATCATCCGGATTACTATAGGAGAGGCTGAATTTGTTAACACTGTCAAGGTAAGAAGGTAAAATGCAAAGCGATCCTTAGTGACATCGAATACCTTGGTAAGTAACCAGAAGAAAGGTCAACCAAACATGTAGGCAGGATTGAACCCTCTCCTGCAACGATGCTTACAATGCGGATATTGCGTTTTAAGTAAGGGACGTCTGTTTCCAAGCCAATGGAGAACATAAATAGCATTCGACAAACTAATGAAAAGAACTGATAGTACTTTGCAGCAGAAGCCTGGATGAAAAAATCTTTAACTTTTTCTACACGGAACAACAGTGAGGGTCCTGACACAACGCCAGCCTGATACAGAAGACATTCAACAACATATACCGTATATTCATAGAATATGTTTGATATATATGGATAACTGCATGCCATTTTATGAATATATATATAGAATATTTTTATATATATGGATAACTGAATGGTTGCAAGACGTTGTGCAAAAGGTTCAGGTTGTCCCAAGGGTTTCAAGAGAAGATGAAAGACATGAGAAATGACAAGAATTCAGGAGGCCTGAAAGCTTGTTGTGATCAAGTGGTTAAATGAGTCTGCCGGTTGACGCATTAGCTGTTTTGTTGCCACCATCCTTAATTTTCCTTTTTCTTTAAGAATAACTAATTTCTAGTCAGGTCAAGCAGAGGTATGTCCCAGAGATTACCCTACCAAATGATGATAACTCTCTACCTTTTTTCGTTCTTTTTTTTTCTTCTTCCTCTCCCTCTCCATTGGTGGAAACCTCAGCCTCCTTCTGTATCATTCGATTTCTGATGGACACCCTTTGTTCTCGGGGAATTCGACATATAAAGTCGGACGTTTGTTGACAATTATTTTTCATTCCTGTCCATGCATGCACCTTCTGGTATTTATCCTATTTTATGTGACTTAACCTACGCACCACCAAGATTCATAAATTACTAGTATGTGTTACCCGCACTATGAAGCGGAAGGAATATTATTTTAATAATAATTTATATTTTAAAAAATTAGTTGATAAAAACCCATCAAGTGTTCGCCTAGAGATCTTAGATTACGACATATATTGAAAAAAAATTGAACAAACTTTAACGTGTAATTACATCAGACTATTAAAAAATAATTGATATAATGTTAGATTTAAAATAAATTTTTAAAATTTATTTTATTGAAATATTATTTTTAATACAACTTTTCACAAATCAATAATACTTCTTTAAGGATTGCACCCGAACATTTTCATATTGCAATATCGATGACATACAATATATATGAGTTTATAAAAACGAAAACATAACCTTTTACATTATATTGTATTGCATTTCATTTCATTTTATTTTTTTAAGTTTTGAGGTGCAATCTCAGATGTAATTCAATTACCATATTTTTTTTTATAGAACTAAATGAAAGCTGCTTTGTCACGAATGATGGTTTCAAACTTTATTCACTATTGACTAGAGTTTTCCTAAAAATGAGTGTCGATGCTCTTTAGATATTGAACATATTAAATCTTGAGTCCACGTATATATTTGAGGTTGACAGAAACATCAAATTATGAAGCATATTAAGTATCCGAATGGACTATCTTGCTTTCTACTGATTCAAAAAAAAAGAAGACATCGACCAAGGTTAAACGTTGATAATAGAACAAATCTAGCCATTGCTCCTGAAAATACATTATTTCTTCAAAGTCTGTTTTAGTGAAAGATTCACTGAATACCATCTTAACAAACAATGACGGAACATAAGCTAAACTAAAGGTGCCCTAAGCCTCCCCAAATTTCAAAAATTATAATTTAAACTGTTAAAATTTTCAATAATTAACTTCCCCCAACATATATAGAAATTAAGATTAAATTTTAAATTTTTGAATGTTGTTAATTGAACCGTCTCCCATAATTTTTAAAAATTCTTATTGAACCTTTTTTTTTTTTTTGATAGGAATGAAATATTTATTAAAATCAAGAGACAAATAACATCTTACGAGCCTCATTAAAAACCTCCCTAAACTGAATGGAGGAAAAGAGTGCAACATAAGAGAATAATACAAACAAACAAACCAAAAGCGAAAGCCACACCTACGAAGAAAACAAAAGCGAACAGAGAAAATTCCAAAAAACAATCCAACCGACCAAACAAAGCGAAAACTGCAACCTACTAAAAACACATATCAATTCCAACCGTAGAAGCTTCATCGACTACAACAACGCGACCAGAGACATCAAAAGCCCTGATCCAATAGCTCCAGAGTGGACAGGCATAGAAAATACTCATAGATTGAAACAATCCAGTGACCTTTGAAGATGAATTAAAAATACGGTAGCCGAAGAAAAGCCTCTAACTAGAATCGTGCCCTCCATGCTATCAACAAAACGAATATAAAATGTCCCTCAAAATGACCACATCCATCCACATAACGATCTCCTATGGCACACGCACCACACCCAAGTGTGCCCTACTCACCACCTCCAAAACAATGGACAACCTTGGACAGAAAAATGAGCAAGACCACTAAAACACTTAAGTCGGGATACCAACAACCAAAGCCCCACTAAATTGAAAAAACCTTAAAATAAGCTTCCACCATAACTAGTGTTTTGTAGAATAAAAACCACCGCCACTAAATACAATTAAAAACCAAAAATTGGCCGATAAAGACATGTTCGACCAAAACACCGTACACACGAAATACAAAATTGATCGAACGTGGACCCTTGGAACCGTGCGAAGAGAGACCATACTGCATGAACCGTGCACCCCATGGAGACAACAAAAACAAAATTCAAAAGGCCCTCAAACTGGACACCACCATCCACATACAAACCACTAAAACACGTGCCCCCATTTCCCATGTGCGGTCAACAGACCAGCTATCCCTACTACCAAGAAAAACACCCACTCCCATGAACCGAGAGAAATGAGCTAAGCACTATGGTATACCATGCGCATAAAACAACTAAACACAAGGTGAAAACATTGATATGAGAGGATATTAATTCAAACGAAAACCTAAAAGCTTGGGAGTCAAATGGACTAAACACCGCCCACTCCAATGAGCACCCGACACACCTTCTCCAAGGCAAAGGAGCATCCACTAAATGGACAAGAAAAAGCATGCGCAGGAACATCTAAAACTCAATGCCTGGGAAACAGAAAAACCCATCGCCCAATTCTATATAAAATGCCTTTATACACACTCCCATTACCATCCACATACCACCCATTCACGCAAAATTCTAAAAAGCACAGTATTCCACCAAAGAACCCACGTGCGCCTTACTACCAGCCTCCAAAGCAATGAAACTTTGAAGGGCGCCCTACTACCAGCCTCCACAGCAATAACTCGATGAAGAAAGCAAAACGACTCCACAGTAAATGAAACTTAATTCTCCCGAGACCTATACACCCACTACACATCACAAAAGATTCACACAGAGCCACTAAAAACCAATTCCAAAACCTCCAAATAACCACGAATGAAACCTCAAAGTTGAAATACTGAAACCTAAACACGAGCCCTACACCTCACTCACTTCCCTTGACACAATTCTAACAATGCTAATTCCTCGAGAACTATCCTTTCAGGACCAGCAAACTTAATACCAAGCATCGTAGCTACTGATAGAGTCTCTTCCGCTTCAGCATACGTAGCAGCCCACCTTTCTTTATATCCGAATCTGAAAGAGATCTTCCAGATAATTCAGAGGATTCTAGATCAGACTTCTACATCTTGGATCTCTTCAACGCTTGATCTCTACGCTTCCTCTCATCTTTCGAGAGGACTGAATCCTGGATATCCAAAAGAGAATCATATTTCTTCTCCTTTATTTTATTCGTATTGGACAGATCTAGCAAGCACGACCCATCTTCTAGGACCCCCCAAAAATCCCGATATCAGACTTAATCCTAATACTTGCATTCCCTACATCCAAAGAGCTCACTAGTACCCTATCCTCCATTAATGAAACCCCGTCTGAAAAAGGGCTACCCACATTTGACTCTACAGCTTTATTCTCAACCCCCTCAATATCCACGACTTGTAGCCCCACGTGATTAAAGTGATCTGAAGTTTGAACACCAACAGCCTCACCACCTACCTCGACACAACACCCGACCTCGATTGGCTTCACAGAACTAACATTTTTACGAAAACCGAGGCTATCCCCCGAGCACGCT